ATGTCTGATACTAATTTACATCCAAGTAAACTTCATTAACAATTAAGTATCAGCTTTCAGGTCAGGTCAGGTGAGCTTTCATCATGCTATTTAATACAGAGATGGCCATAGTATTAGAGCAATTGGCATTAATGTTTCCAAGTTATCCCAGCTGAGAAACCAGGGGGGTGTTCCACAAAGCAGGATTTCTTGGTTAGCCAGATAACTTGTCGGATTTAAGATAGTCTGAGCTAAATGTAAGTGAACAAAGATAATGTCCATTTAGCCCAGATTACCTTAAAACCAACAAGGTATTTTACTTTATTACTTTAAGCCCCATAGGAAAAAGGCCAGAGAGAGAGAGAGAGATCCTGTGCTGTTTCCTTGATTGTTTCTAATTGACAATGGATCAACCCCTTGAATAAAAGATAACAGTCCCTGAGTGGTTCAGCCAGTAAAAGCTCTCTTCTCAAGGGCAACTAGCTTCCTACAGCTCGCCTTAGGGTTGAAATCCATTCTTTGTCATTAACTGATCATGACCAGCAGTCCCACACTGACAATCATCAGTGGTGCTTGGAGAACAACCTCTTTCTCAACGTCAGCAAAGCTAAGGAGTTGGTAATGGACTTCAGGAAGCAGAATGCAGCTCATCCCCCCATCTACACTGGAGGAGATGCTGTGGTGAGGGTCAGCAGCTTCAGGTTCCTTGGGGTCCCCCTCAGCGCCAGCCTCAAGTTCACAGAGCATGCAGCAGCTGTCACCAAAAAGGGCCACCAACGTCATTACTTCCTCAGACGTCTGAAGAAAGCTAGGATGTCTACCTCAGTCCTCATAAGCTTCTACAGGTGTGCTGTGGAGCCCATCCTCACGGGGATCATCACATCCCAGTATGGTGGCTGCACTGCACAAGACAGAGAGGCCTTGCAGAGAGTGGTGAAGACAGCGCAGAGGATCATCGGCACACCACTTTCTGCGATAAAGGACATTTACACCACGCGCTGTCTCAGAAAGACAAAGCGCATCATGGAGGGCTCTAGTCACCCTGCACTGCCATTTTTCACTTTTCTGCCATCTGGCAGGAGAATCAGGACAACATATACACGCACAGCACGATTCAGGAACAGCTTTTACCCTAGTACTGTAAGACTGTTCAACACCCAGTAACACAGTAACAAAAGAGGCTTTCCTTTCTCTCTTTTTCTCCGGGCAATAAAAATTCTGTCTCCTCATACCATGTGCAATGCTGTAGCACACAACACTTTACATGGCACTGACACTTTATGTTATGCGTTTTTTTGCACTATTATGTCTTCTATGTTTTGTCTGAAGTCTTATGTGTTTTATCTGTAGAGATGGTACTCGAGTAAGAATTTAATTGTGCTTTGTACACTGTTCTCTGTACATATGATAATAATAAAATAAACTCATCTTGCCAAAGCAGAGAGGGGGGAAAAATCAGCTGGGATACCTCCAGATGTGGCAAGCAGCTGCGATGCTCCTGTCTCCAGTGCTGCGGGTTGTGCCGCTGCTTTAGTAAAAGTTCTTGAACATTCTTCACGATACCGTATGATTTCCAGCCTGGTCAGCAAAGCAGATGAGTGTGGGAGCTGAATTGGAGGATCATAAACCAGGTGGTTTATGCTGTCTGGCCGGTGTTCAGAACTGGAAACTAGAAATATCTAAATTCAGAAAACAGGGTGAGTTGCAGCTTAGTGGGTTATCATTGTTTGTGTTATTATTATTACTATTATTACTTTCGGAACTCTTATTATTATTACTAGTATTAATGCTCCATAGAGTAAAGTTCATAGTATATTTATTTTGTTCTTTGCATTCTATACTTTGTTACAAGAAATATAAAACGTAAATGTGTAAACCTGTTCAAAATCAAGCACTTAGCCCACACTCAACACGCAACACTCACTCAGCACGGGAAGGGTGAAAGACAAAACAAGTTCAAAGCAAACACTCAACAAATGAAAAGCGGGAGCTGTATTTGCACTGTCTGCCTCTGACCTCGAAGCTCTGAACATGCTGCTTTAAGGGTTTGCATGGTTAGAACGGTGGTAGAGCTGGGCGATATGGCAAAATATTTTATCAGAATAATTCTTCTTTCATATCAATCTATATCAATCTATATAGATAATTATTACACTATAATTCAAATCATTGTTTTCTTACTTCAAAGCTCCATTTTTGCTTGAAATTTCCATAGAATTACCATTAAATGGATTCAGAAAATGAAAATGTGACAAATTGAATGGACTGCAAATTGAAATCAAATTCTGTAACTTTACTGAAGGCCATGTTTTTAGTCATCTTTAAACACATTTATAATGCATTATAATGCATTCATGAAGCATTATAAACATTGCTATAAATATTTATAAAAAGACATAACACATTATAGCCATGTTCATTATGCATTATGACTGCCTTATGAAGCTCTCTATTATTATTTGTTATGGATGTGTTTATTAATTACCAAAAACATGGCCTTAAGTAAAGTGTTACCATAATTTTAATAAATAAATCATGCACACATACAATTATACAAAAATAATCTTTTTATATTGCAGGGTATAACACTAGAAATGGCTGCAATTTTCACATGCTGCCTCACTGCTCATTCCAGAGGTTTGACATTGCTGGGACAAGTTTTCGGCAGAGTTTAAAGTACACAGCAACAGTTTGTTTCCGTGTCAGACTTTAAACTGCAAAAAGTACTGCCACATTTCAGAATATATCTCCTTTTTAAGATGAGGGAGAGTGATTCTTTTCCACAACTCACATGTATTTCCATTACAGTAGCACATGGTGTGCTCCACTAAATCAGACTTTCTGAGCATTTGTTTGGACTTTGGGTGTTTGTTCTTAAAGGACTACCAGATGATTGGTTGGAACTGGGCTCATTTCTGTTATGTGCTGCTATCTAGCAATGTTTCTTATCGACAGTTTATCAAAGTTCCTTATTTTCTTATCATTTAAATGACATATTATGATAAGTATGTACAGTATACCATTTATATTATACAGCCTATTAGAATACCACTTTCTTATGTGGGGGACTTTTTACTCAACCTATTTTTCATTCATTCATAACATTCATTCATTCAGTCATTCATCATGTTATACACTGAAAAAATAAAAACAAAGCTGTTGTTTGTTCAGGGTGTTTTTTCTCATTCCAATACTTGAAAATTATTAGTTTGTTCATGTAAACGTAACTTTCTTATGTATGTTTGTGGATGGATGATTTTTTACAGGCTAAACTGAATAAATTATTTACATTGAGGCAACTTAAAATATTTTATGTGATCGATTGCTTCAAATATTTCACATCGATTCACCATTTCCAGCATTTAATTCTTTCATTGTAAATCTGCTCCTTAATTCTTGGCAATCACTACGGTGATGAGGCGACCAAGTATGTAGAAAGATGAGAAATAAAAGAGGAAAAATCCAGTATATACCAGTCAAGTGCTTCACTGGAAGACTAGAAAAGGGCAAAAGAAAAAAGTAATCTTTACTGAGACATCGTTCTGCTAATCCAGTCATTTGGAAACCCTCTGGTTTCACACCCTATTGACTGAAGATGTAGTACATAAATCCCCCACATCCAGGAAGGACAGGCAGAGGGGTCCTCGCTTTTAAAGGAGAGGAAAGTAATGAAGACATACAGTACAGACCTTAGAGGATGCTTGAGCCACGTTGACATTTTCAGAATGGTAGCAGAAACCAGAATGAAATCCATATCAAACCGTGAGAGACAAGAGGAGTGTTACAGCTGCTTAAGGACGGCTAATGCCTTATTCAAAGGTAGATTTTTAAAACAAGACATTTTAACATTTAAACATTTTGCCAATGCAATAAAAGTGTGACTCGTGGATTTTAGTGAAAATCAATGCTGAAAGTCTTCTGAATAAATCTATTTAGCCCACATTTTCACTGTAGGGTTCATACACTTTGTTAGCATCTAGTGGATTTCTACTCCATATTCACCGTCCTGAGGGCACAGTGTAAGCTTAACTTAACCCAGTTATTGACATTTTGATGGGTATGAATCGACATATCAGCTAACACACCAATCATTCAATCTGCGTTTTTTTAAATCAACCAATGAAGGTACCTCAACCGATGCCGAAAAGACAGCTAAACTTTCTGTAAAACCAACAGATGAAAAGCAAGCCTTGGTGGCTGTTGATGTTAGCTAGTCTGCCTTGCGAAAGGTACATCTCACACAAAATCCCTGTTCCAGCAGCTGAGGGGTTTGAACTCCCAGTCAATACGGATCACTGCATCCATTACTGGGTGTGACAGACAGTGAAGCTTACACAAACACAGCACAAAGTACGTAGTAAACTGCAGTGATGAGCATTACATCTTGGGAGAATGGTACATTAAGGTTAAATGCACGCCATGTAATGACATAAACGCCATAATAACTGATCCTGGTCCCACTTACGGTAAATAAAATACCTGTCCAGGCAGAGAAGACAGACTAGAACTGCTTAAAGGATCACTTGTCATTAAAATACAGGGCTGAAGAACAGCAGTCAAAGTTTGTGTAGTGGAAGGAATACATTATGTGGTAGTATTTATCACCGGGCAATTTAGAGGCACATATGCACCAGATATCACAAAATGATAGACCATAAATTGCTTAGAGTCAAAGGATTCTTGAAAAACTGAACAGAGACTGGAAATGTATAACAAGAGTCCCCTCTTTAAAAATGTATAAAAAAAAAAACACCAGTAGCAGCGGCAACTTACCTACTGTACCTAAAGCAATTTTAACGTTATTCAAATCACTATAGCATAAAAGCAACTAAAAGGCACTATGGCGGTCAGACGTGAAATTTAAGATCCTTAGTATATAACTAGAGATTGTGGTGCATTGACCGCCATGTTGGTGTCTTCCGACCCAGCCGGTCATTTCTCTTCTAGTCGCTTTATGATTTCTGTGAGTGTAACGGGGACGGCGGATGCTTCCCATGCTTGACGTCATGCCGTGGAGGAGCTAGGTGGAGGAGTGACTTTGTGCTTCTGCTGCAGCAGAGAGTGACATGATGAGGGACTGGGAGACGCACAGACAGGAAGGCGTCTGTAATATATAGAGAGCATCAGGCGCCGAGAAAGGAATGGGGAATATCTGAATGAACAGCTATGGAGAAATGATTGGAAACGCGACGGTAAGGCAGTGCTTTAATATATAAGCGAAGCATGATATGTATGGTAAATAGGAATATAAAGTGGTGTTTAACGGCATATCTAGAGCAGGTGCGTCTGGTTATGAGGCTGAGGTTCATCTACCGTCTTCCATTTAGCAACTTGCGTGTTTTTTCATTTAGATATGTAAATATAACAATGTACATGGGTATGCCAGTCTGGTATTTGGTGTTATTGTATTTTTACGAGGGCACCTTGATGCCAATCGAGACCAATCGAAGCAGCTGATGTCGGATGATGGGGGGAGGTTTTCAGATGACAAGAGCTCAAAGCGTGTGAATATAATAAAGTGCTTTTTAGACGTTTGCATAACCGGTGCTTTTTTCCCCCCATCTGCATGATAGACAGCGGCGACGGCGGCGGTATGCTCCCGCTGATTGTCGCGTATAGCGGTGCGCCCGACGTCCGGGCACACGCAGCGCTCCGTGAACGCGGAAACTAAAAGCTGCCCTATACACGCTTTATTCATTTTCAACTTTTATTCTCGTGCGATCTCTTTGTCTCATTGTTCACCGATCGCTTTGCCGTAAAGGATGATTGTGGCAAGCTGGCTAAGATCACCTTTTCTATTGATGACATACACACCGTTCCTGGGAGACAAGAGAGCAAGCGAAGTGCTGTTCCAATTTATCCGTATTATTATTATTATTATTATTATTATCGTCGAAACGCATATTTTGGACTGGTAGTCGTGTTTTCCTCATATCATGTCATCGGTCTACAGGTAGCCTTTAATAGAATATGCAGCACGATCACTCCCCTTGCTGATGGTCACAGACAGACGTATGGACGTGCATTAGGTGCCCATATACATATGTAAGAGCATTCATACGCTGATTGGCCTTTACCATGTGTCTCCTAAAAACATACAATGGTGCGTGTCGGGCACAAAAAGCAGCAGCTCCTTCGTGTGCCTTAAAACAACGCTGAAACTTGTTTTGATCTCGCTTACGGCACAGAGATCCTCAAGCTTTCATTAAAACAATTGTATATCAATCATTGATAACTTACATGTCGTTTCTGTTGTATTTTCCCCGATTTTGATTGTGTGACACATTCCAAACTTTTGTGTCGTGCGGAATGTATAGAAAAACGAACATTTCACATCCCAGCATCCTTATCAGCCACGTACCTGCCGACTTACTGTGACAAATGCCATGTGTTGAGCCGCAGACGTGAACTTTACTACTGACATCTCCCACACAATTTTGTGTGGATGTTTTAAAAGAATCACCGCAATGCACCCACTTAGTGTTGGCTGAATATGGAACCCACGTGAATTCTAGTAATTTTCAGAACATAGATGGAAGAGGTGAGTGTAATAAAATTACCATGTTTATTTACTTCATAATAGTAAAGGATACCACAAAGGATACTTACAAGCAGCATGGGTATTGCCTAATTGAGTTTATGTTTACCATACATGAACTATCTACAATTTTGAATCATTATTATATTCACATACTGTACTCATATACTCATACTGTACTCATATTCATATGCAGTTTTCTAATTTTTTAAATTAATAAATAAAGTTAAATACAGTGGTTTTTATGACACCCCTGTGATGGCACTTGTATCTAAAAACACTGGGATATTTCTCTTTTATCAGGTAGGAACCTTGGTTGCTGCAATAATCTGGCATGACTGTCTGGATTAACATTTGATTTTTGAATTTCGGTTTGTCCTGTTGCTTCACGTGTGTAAGGCTTGAGTGTTTCAGTCATACCCCACATTCTGTGTGTATGAAATTTGCATGTTATCTCTGTGCCACATGGGCTTCCATCAGCAGACCAAAGACAGGCAATTAGGTTAATTCCATCCATTTTCCGACTGCTTATTCAGTACATGGACTACTTTTTTCGTAAATGGATGAGTCCAATCTGCACAAATGCATCAGTCTACTCTGTTTAAATGGTTGAGTCCACTCTGCTTAAATGGGTGACTCTTCTCTGTCTCAGGATTACAAATAACTTAATAGCTGAGCGAAGCCAACTGTGTAGTGGACTGTAGACGCTGAGATGGATTGCTTGAGGCATATATCAACATAGTCATCTGCACCGAGACACACAGACAATCTTAACCACAGAGTCAACGCGGGACATTGAAATAGTGCATTTCACAGGACCAGGCACTGTAAGAGTGTGTTTCAGAGAACCAGATTTTAATGGAGTGTGCCTAGCAGGCAGAGTTGGACAGTTCAGGTCCAGAAAGTAAAAATCCAGAACAAGATTTTGTATCAACCAATCAGTTGACTTCTCAGTGTCTGTGACTCTATATTCTCAACTGACTGGTTGAAACTAAATCTCGGACTGGATTTTTACTTTCTGTACCTGAACTATCCACCTCTGCTAACAGGGGCAGACATTGGAACAGTGTGCTGTATATGAGCGAGTGTAAGTGGCACAGAGGACTTGAGCAGTGAAGGTGAAGATATTGAAGACTGGCAGGTGTTACTGCTGCAGGAGGTGTCACATTGCACAGGTGTCATGATTTTTCAGACATTGTGGACAGTCTCACAGAACATGCTTGACTGGAACAACGTTGGCCAATGTCACTTTTTGATTAATTCATTTTTTCAGAATCAGTTTGAGGGTTGTGGGTTCAAATCCCATGGTTGCCAGTGTGGTGGTATCACCACTCGGGCTTTTCGTCAGGTGCCTTGGGGATGCGGGCTAATCCTGCCCTCCGAATTGAAAAAAATACATCTGGAGCCGTATTAGTTCAATATTAACAAATGCGTCTTTAGGCTGTTTTAAGGTGAATTACTGAATTACTTTGCCTGCACCTGCCTTTAACCTTTAACCATTAATTGGCTAAACACAGTGTGTGACTCTAACAGCTTCCTGTCATTTTTGACAGGAAAGTTTTCCTCATTTATATGCCACTTTGGTCCAAAGGATCAGCAAATATATGAATATACAATGAAAACATCCAAGATAACTGTAGCCAGACGTATGTCGACAATACATCACTGTTTCGTTGTTTAGACAAGTTATTGCTATTCTGCTACACAATGGCATTAGCTGGGAATGCAGCTTTTGATAAATATAATGTTCTTCATCTCAAGTCACCATAGAAGTGTTACCCAGACACCTGGAGGTATATGAACAAGCAATTGAACAAAGTGCTCAGGAATACCTTTGAGCAACATCTAGTTGAACACTGATGATGAGTGATCATAGAAAATGAATTCTAGATTCATTTAAAAAATGGCACAAACGCCAAACGTGTACAAGGGGCTGGCAGCTGTCAGAGTCATACACTGTGTTTAAGTATTGGTCACGGTGCAAGGATGCAAAACATCAGTTGATGTTATTAATAAGCCACAAAACGGCACATTGATGGATTCATTAACCAATACTGCTGCAAGTGTACATTTTTTGTCTGCAGACTTTAAACACCTTTAGTGTGCAACCTTTAAACCATTCAGTTAAACATAACTGAATCAAACACCTTCTACTTGTAATCAGTATAGATCTTCGTTCTTTAGTGTGTTGCCTGGTGGTGAGATTGCAGTATGACAGACTTTTGATTGTGTGTATAATGTTGTGTGCTGCCAACATAATTTCTACAAATTTCAGAACAAAGTCGTTCTTGTTTTAAGGTTATATCGGTTGTATTTACTATGTGCTGATTTGTTAATATAATTAAAAAGGTGAATTGGGAGTGTGATAAAAAAGGTTTTGCTTAAGTCGTTAATCAAATCAAGAAACTTCTCTCACTGATAGATCTTACAAACTGAACCTAATGAGTGAAGCAGTCTGTGATGTTGATTACCCATCAACACTTTGTGGAAATTGCTAGAAGTTATTGGAGAAAGTGAAAAGGGGAAGCTATTGATGTGTCGGACTTTAGAATTAAATCAGCAGCCAGACAGCGTCAATGGATTTGTCCAGATATTGTAGCACTGTGCTGCTTTTTCCCACTTTATGATAAGGGAATTAAATTACTTTACTACACAGATGAGACTGCTGGGGTTAGTGGAAGAATGGATGCAGCGAGAGTTTCAGACCTGTTCCCTTTCAATGAAAAAAGCTTATGATGAAAATCTAGCCAGCAGATGGTTACCTTGGTTGTGGCCTTTAACTTGTGTCTTAAAAGCTGAGGGAAGGACCTCCCTCATTAACCTCACCGGTGTTACCGTTCATTCTCACCTGCCATCACTATATGTGTCTGAAAGTCCCAGTTACTGGATCTGGTGAACAAAGATGTCCTGAGGCTTTAACACTTTTGACTTCCAACAATCATCAAAACAAAATAACCAAGAAAGAACGATTTTTGTCTTGCATTTCGTTTTGCATCGATGCCCTCGTTTTGTCTTGTTTCTTAAATCCAGCAGACCTCTTTCCAGCCCCATTTTATTTCTCTCAGTTGAATTAAATATTAACGGTTCAATAAAATCCACTGTTAAAAAGACAAGCTTTTTGTAAAAGTTCAATAAATGCATGATCTCAATAATGACCAAAATAATCGGCATCATTATTATTGCCATAATCGAGCAGCCCTGACATACACTGTGAATCAAGTTGCATAAACTGTGAATGAAGATAATTTCATTTGCACCAGCTACATTTATCTTTTGAAAACTGACTACCCAAAGTCAAATATATGCATTTTGAAAGAGCTTTGACTTAGACATGTATTGTGTACAGCCATCAGCCTCTTCCTGTGGCTCCCTTACTGACCACCCTGGTTACTTGTCCATTGGCCAGAGATACATGTGAGTGTCACCTGGCAACAAGGAGATCCACGGCGATGACAAAAAGCATGTCGACTGCCGGAAGCTCGCACAGATTACTAGCTACGGCCGCCAGTTCCCCTAACAAGAGGTCTGTGTGTGGAGTACTGAAAATACAGGGAGGATGGAGATACACCACACACACTGAGCTGGTACTCAGGTCAGACCTGTGATTCTGCAGGTTTTGGACAGTAGCTATGCCTTCTGAGCCAACATGCCGCA